ATCCTTTAGGCTGTTTTATATTATGGTTCATCCTTTAACAGTTTCTTTATAATTAAGAATACATAAAGACATCCTTTCTGTGAGTTTTTCATCTTAACTCAGAAAAGCATTGAAGCCTTCTTGCTATTTTTCTATACATTTAAGTTAAATTTGGTGTTCCCGGCCATAGCACAGCCGGGTTAGCTGTTCAGTCTTGTGATCTTTTGGTAACTTTATTGGGGGGAAAGGAGATCTGGTTTTGGCCTTCCTTATGCTGAGCTCATTAGGAACAACAGTTAATGTAAGTGATAACTGGTGTGTGCAATATGTACCCTCACTGTTATGTCTGATAAAGAGGGAATGTTGTACTCAAACTATGCCACAGCCACGTGTAGCTTTCTGTGCATCCCTTGTGCTGTGCTGTTCATTTGCAAAACGTGTACCATCCAAAGGGGTAAAGTTACTACTGATAAAGGACTATCAATAGATGCTCTTATTTCTGTTATATTCCTGTTATAGTCCCTGCTCATAGTGCAATTATTTCACTACTGTTGTTGTTATGTCCTGCTCTTTCTTCTTGGACTCAAATTTGGCAGGGAAATGCTGACTGTACAGTGCCTACATGACACATATGGCAGATATAGCCAGTGCTTGGGAATGTGATAATAAACATTTCGTTTCAGAGTACAGAAATTGTATTTTTAGAAGTTATTCTGAAAAATAATGGATTTATGGATCTACTACACAATTCAGTAACATAAGCTTCTGCTGAAGGTGTTGACCTGAACACCAGTTTGAATTTCTGTGTGGCTTTCTCGGCTGCTCTTTAACTTTTGCAATGATGGAACAGCTCCCTGGTGCCAAATGCTGTTTGCACTTTTGTCCCTCACCCTAAAAGTCACAAGTGCTGCTCAGAACTCAGAGAAGAAACAGTGATGAAAAATGTGCTTGCTTTCCCAAAGCTGGAAAACTCTCTGTTGCCATGGTAACACCTCCATCCACATTCCTTCATCACTGCTCCCTATTACCTTGCTCTACCACTGTCTCGAAGCAATCATTGTCTTTTCCTATCGCTGTGCTGAAGCAAGGAGAAAAAATGTGTAGAAACTGAAGGAGCAGCCATAAGCACAGAGAGGCAGGTTCATTCTGGATACAAAACCATCAAAGTGATTTGCCATGAGGACAGGATAGTCAGAAAATGAAGAATAAATTGTTGATTTGAAAGTGCAGCTCTGAGTCCCATCAAGTAATATATTGCATAACTTATATATTGATGGTCTATAGACCATTCTGGGCATAGCTGCTTCTACTCATGTCCCTGAAACGTGGGGTTGTTTAGGAGAGTGATTGCCTGGGATTTCTCTGCCTGGGTTATGGTTGACCACCTGGCCAAGCTGAAGGGTTTGTGCCAGAAAGCAGCTTGGCTCAAGACTGTAGAAACAATTGTGGAGGGGGTTAAGATGAAATGCCACTTCCCAGAGGGTCTATTCCTCAAAGTGATGTCCAATAATTTCTTTGAAATGGGCTGGAACTGTATGGTTGAAGCTTCAGTTTGTATCTGGTGATCTGCCTGGCAAACTTTCCTTGTAGGTACTATTTATGCCACCCAAATTGGTGTGTGCATGCTAGTTCCCTGAGTGAAATGCATTTTACAGGAGTATGATCTTCTTTATACAGTTCTGTTCCTCTGCTTTTGGTGTAGCTGGCTAGAAGTGAAATGTTTTTGGTGTGCACATGGTCCATGCAAATGAAGTGTGGGCTCTGTCTTGTTTTGATGCAAAGATTATCCCACATAATTGCAAAGTTCTGTACAGTTAACTACCTTTAATTAGAAACAGTGAACATCAGCGGATAATTACAGTACTTCTAACTAAAACCCACTTGTTGGTGTCTTCTGGAATGAGAATGAGGGCTGTTCTGCCATTCCTGAGATTAACATTTTACCTCTCATGCTTGAGTCAAGGATGGTGCCGTCATGGGATGTCATAATCTCTCAGCTGTACTTGGTGTTTATCCTGACAACATGACAATGCTGTACTTGATTGTACTTGGGAAATAACCCAGCACAGCCTGGTGTAACACTTCCACAGAGTATACTGCACAACTTTAATAGAAACTTCACGATCAGGAAAATTTCAGGGAACTGGTTTTATATCCTATTGACAGGAGATCTCAAATGAAATACAGCATGTTGTTTCTTCCTTGGGAGGGGGAGAAAATTATTCTTTAGCTGTTTGTGTTCACTGTATGTGTTGAAGTGGTGATGCAGGTCCAGTGTGTGAATAGTGAGGGTCTCTGTGCAGGAAATTCCCACACAGGAGCTGGTGTGGAGCAGCTGGCAGGCTCTGGGGAAAAGGCAGCCACTGCATGTTTGTTCAGCAGCAGCACTGGCACAGCTTTAGCTCTGTCAGTGTTTCACAGAAAGCAAATATTTCCAAGGTGACTCTCAGAAAGTGCAAGCTGAGGGCGATGTGTGACCCTGCTGGACTGCTCCAGGAGGGACAGCTGCCTGCTCCAGTGACAGAGCTGCCTTTGGCTGGGCCCCCCAGCCATGTCACCCCTCAGATGTGGTGAATCAAGTCCAAAACATGAGCAGTGAGGTGCTCCTGGAAGCCCTCTGAGTTGGACACAAGCTTGATAGGATGACTGACAGCCTGTGTGAGACTCCTGCTGCACAGCACAACAGCGTGGCCACAAGCCCAGGGGACAAATGGGTTTAAAGCTTTTCCCACAGCAAAGCTGCAAATGAACACAGGCTCCTTGCCCCTTCACAGCTGATTATACCAAGCATGGTTTTCAAATATCGGAGCTGAGTAATTTCCACTGGCCCAACTTCACTTGAGTTAACACAAGAGCACGTTTTTATAGACCTGTGAGTCGTTCCTTTTTATTAATATATCTGCATTAAATCATTGTGTCCTTGGAGCAAACTCTCCTCTCTTTGCTATCAGCAGTGTGAGAGAAAGGAAAGACAAGAGTTTCAAACTTCCTAATGAGTTTGACAATGCAATTGTCTGAATGAAATGTCTGAAATACTGGCTTTAGACCCCTGTCCCTGATTATCCTGTCAGTCTTCAGGCATAAAGCACACATCTATTTCTACCAATAGGAGTTTGTGACCTCCAAGCCAGACCTTTTGATTTATACCAATTATGCCACTGCCACACATCAAGGGGATTTTTTGAACAGTTGTTGCATTTGTTTTGTATTTGTATTAATCTCTCTTAATGTATTGTTGTTATGCTAATGCCAGCTGAAAGTAATTCCATGGAAATTACTTAGGATTAATCTGTTGTAAAGAGGAAAGGAATTATTATAGTTCTCATTAAGATTGATTATTTTTTTTCCTGTTCATCTGAGCATCTATGAATGATTGTCAGTTCTGAACAACATTTTTCTTCTCCAGGATTTAAGAATAGAACTTAATGAGATGAATTTCTATCTGCAAGGTGCTCAAAGCTTGTATTTTAAGGCAGAATAGGCTATCACAGAATAAAAAACACAAGTCAGCATTTCTTGGGGATGGTTCAAGTTTGTCCCTTTTTTGTTCTAAACTTTGTGATGCTGTTTATAATTAAGATTCATAGCTGAGAGTGTTGCTTCTGCTGCTTCATATTTATAACCAGTGCAGATTAAAGCAACTCCATTGCTGGTATGCATTCATATCTCTTTACTTAGTCCTGTCTGTCTTAATTGATAGGACTTATTTATGTGCATGAGGAGATTATTCATGTGAGTGGGGCATTCAAAATATTGGTATTCATTTACAGAAACAAGTTTGGCTAATAAATATTGATTTTTAAAATTTTAATGGTTCTAAGTAATATTTAGAATGTCTAAGCACAGTTATAATGATGTACGCTTTAAAATTAAACAGATTCTCTTCATGTTTAGACTGAAATAAAAGAAGTAATGTTTGACTTAGCAAAGCTTGAGGAAGGGATTGCATTTCACAAACTTAGAGCTCAATTCTCATTGTGATACTTTTAAATTTTTGTTCCAGGAATATATTCTGTAGCTGACATGAGTCAGAGGGAGAACAAGGTAATGTGCCAGGTCACTTGTTTGGCACCACGGGCTCCTTCTACCATGGCTGAGACCTTTTAGAAACCATCATAAAATGTAAGGGGTCCAGTACTTTAAAACTGTCCCTCTCTTGCTGACTGGTGTGACAGGTGAGGGTTAGGAGGTCTCCATCCTTCCTCTCAGTGCTGTATTCTTCACTGCAGTGATGGAGTCTTCTTCCGTTCAAATGGGTGTTCCTTCCTTTTCTAAGTCTTCCCTATTTTTCCCCTGCTTACATAAAAAAGTGATTATTAGAATTAACAATTTGGAAACAGAGATTTTGAACACTTGTTTTTGAAATTAAATTCTGATAAGTGTTCTTCCTTCCCTAATTGTGTAAGAAAATGTTTCAAATTTTTGGAATAATTTATACTTTATCTGGTCCTTGCAGGAAGAAATTACTATTGTCCAGCAGTTTCACCTGTCTCACTTCTTCAACATGTGAGGAGTGGTTAAGGGACCTCATATAACTAAAATGTGAGTAATATTTGTGACTTTGTGTGTTAGCTATGCTATTTTTCTAACTGGAATTAAATTTTATCTCTATTTCTGCATTTTTAGTACTTCATAATAAAAAAATCATGAGCTGTTCCTTGCTGCCCCTCTGGGCACAGCCCCTAGCTTCGATTACTTCTTCTGAAGATCACTCTGGTATGCTTTTTGCAGTGCTAGTCCCTTCTTTTTGGGACCCTTCTTTAATCTCCTTTGAGAACAAGAGGGCTGTTTTGGAGAGCAATCAGTTGTAATCTTGTTGCAGATCTTGTTCAGATTGTGTAATTTTATATCTTGGTCTGTTTGCCACAGCATACACACCTTTCTAAAGAAGAGTAGTTTTATTAATAATAAAACCACTGCTTAAGCAAAATTGACAGTATTTTAAGAACCCATGAGAACTGATCCCAGTAAAACTTAGGAGTTAAATTGGATTCAGAAGAGAAGTCACACATAAGAAGCCATGGGTACTAAATTCTTTACTTTTATTTTTTTTATTCAGCTCTGTGTTCACTTGAGATGAATCATTCTTCCAGTGAGCTCCTTCCAGGAAGGATTCCTCACAATCCTGAGAATCTTTCTCTGTACTATTAAAGTTCTTTCTCTGTTATTACAGTTTCCTTTAGGCTGAAATCCTCTTTGATTCCTCCCAAAGGATCCTTTTAAAAAAAGGAAATGCAAAATTAAAATTGCTTATTACAAATGTTCACAAAGACTCTAGTAAATCTTAAAAAAAAAAAAATCAAACATTTTAAGATTGGTTGAAATGCAGATTTTTCATTTTTTCAACCAAGGAACTTGCGGTCTTGTCAATGAGGTCAGAAATTGTGCAGCTATTGCTAAAATGCACTTTGTTTTCAAACATTCTCACTGGTTTATGGCAAAGCTTAGATGAAGTTTTGTATGAAGATTTATTATGAACTTAGAATACCACGTGTGCTGATGGGTACAAGACAGTCTTTCTTTGGTAATCTCAAAAGAAACTACCCTATTTATCTTGTTTGTGTGTTTGGGAATGCCCTGAGGTGAGGATGGAGAATTACTTCAAGAGGGAAGTTCATATCAAGCACTGCACTGCAAATGGTCTAATATTGCAATCTTCTGGGAAAATGTGGTGGGTGTCAGATAAGGGTGGAAGAAGATGATACTGTTGAAATTCTTCCCAACAAGTACTTTGACAGGCATCTTGTCCCAGTCTTGTGGAATTTCTTCACTAGGGAGATGTTGCTGAGCAGAAAAAGAAACATTGCTGTGAAAGTGCAGGGAACATTGAGAAACTGTACTCTAGCTCAAGTTAATGTGAGACTGATGGGACATTACCTAATGTGCTCTGTTACTGTCTGATAACTCTTTTATATCATTACATCCTTGTCAGCCATGGTTCCACCTTCTATCCCTTCAGCAGGAGCTGGGATCTCACACCCCAGGGTAGTTGGTACTCAGAACTACTTGTCCTCCCTTGAGTACAGATCTGTAGCAGACTGTCTGAAAATGACCCCTTGGAACACAGTTGTGTTCCTTGTCCTGAATTCTTGTTGCCCAATGTTCAGAAGCTGGACTACTGAACAGTTTGGTATTGGGTGTTGTGGGCTTTCAAAAGTGATGTAAAACACACCAGGAAGTGTGCATTGCTGCTTAAATCTCTGCTTTCACCACCAGTCATGGTTCTCACATGACTTCTACAATTTACAGTGCAGTAGCTGGGAATTTATCTTCTTTAGCACCATGGCACAGTAGCAGAAAGGCACATGTACCCCATGGAAGCAGATCTTGGTGAGAGAGGCCACATCCCCTCTGCTTCCATCCTTCTGCTCCCTTCCAACCCTAAATACAGGATCTACCTACTCACATTTCCTTAATTCTGCCTACTTAATTCTTCCTTAATTCGACTGCTTTATGTTTTCTCCCTGTAAATCACCATGAGGAGCACTGAATAAGCACAACGTTTTAATGTATTTTTCACAGGAGTGTGATGATGCCTCATTATGGCAACAAATGCTATATTTACCATTGGGAAGGATCCCCCTGGGAAAATTAACTTTGCTAAACTTGCTTTAAACAAATACCAAATGTTAATCCCCTCTGAAACTGTCACTTTTCGATTTACTGGATTTTTCTGTAACCTTAAGATCTGTTGCAATGATTATTTGCATCTCTCCTCAGCAAAGGAAAGGAAATATCTCCATTAGAGTATTGGAAAGATAGAGGCACAGGGAGTTTTTAAACCACTGAAACAAAACAGCTGGCATCAGTTAAAATATTGGGCAAAAATGATCAATCCAGGATTTTCATTGGAGGACTTGTAGTCCACCTCAGTTGTTAAATACAGAGGAATGCTCTGACAACAGCTGTAGATGGTAGATGAATACATGAGGGTGACAGTAGATTAATAAACCAGTGATCACAACAGGACACTGTTCTAATTTTTAAAGGGGGTGCTCTGCCAAGCTGTAATGTTTTAGCTGGGGTACTAGAGAGATGTCTCATTAGTAATGGACATACCTTTGCTTTTCCATTTAGGTAGTTCTGGCAAAATTCTTTCAGGTTCTCCACAGTCACCTCATCTGCAGGCATTTTGTACCTGGCATCGCTGGTCAGATTTAGGATTCTCACAGCAGGAACATCAATGTCCCTGATGCGAAAATACTCAAAAATCCGGCCATTCCTTGCTTCATTAGTATCCACCAAAACAAACAATATCTGATGATAAAGAGAGAATCATGCATCAGGTTGAACTTCCAGCTTTGGTTTAGCCATTTCGGACAAATGGGTTGTGGAGCTTGGATGTGGGGTAGGATCTAACCTTAAATTCAAGGAACTGTGCAGAATCATTTTGGTCTCAGACCAAAACCCAGAAGCTCTGTGGACTTTATTACACCTTGATCCTAGTTAATAACAAATGCTAAAGCAAACAGAAGTACTGAAGTTTTTCCCTCTGTCCCTTCACAGTGCTTTGTTATCATGTCTTCCAGTAACACTTCTAAATTACCCCCCCAAAGTGCTTATTACACTTCTTCATAAATCTTAACAGGACAGAAGAGCTGAAACACCTGTAATCCATATGTATTTACCAATATGTGATATTTGACTACAAGATGACTTCCTATTCTTCAGTGTCTCATGTACCTGGAACAGGAGTAGCACCACAGAAAACCAGAATACTTGGGTATTGTATATACTGCCCATAATTATCTCTATACATGCAAACACACTGCTGCAGGCAAGGCTATGCACATACCTTGCAATATTCCTCAGGTTTTGTAGATGGCTCCAGCCTTTTCTTCAGACAATATTCTGAGATCCTCAGAATATTTCCTGGTAGAGCCAGAAATTGCCAGAATTTTGCTAAAACTACCTTTGGTTGGAAGTTGCTCCCAAAAAATAGTATTTATAAAATCAGAAACAGGTTAATTTGGAGCAGCTGGAATTAGTGCTCTTCTTAATGGTCTTTGTGTTTTAAATAATCATTTCCAAGTGAAGTTTGTCTTTCAGCTTGTCCTTAACAAATTCAAATAATAGTTACTGAAACTGTTTTTAAATGGTTTGGTGGAGTTTGAAGCTGGACTGACAGCTGTGTATTTTTACCAGTAATACTGATCTTCTGGCATTCCTATTTGCAAATCTGGATTCAGTGTTACAAACCTTTCCTCTGAATTCTGCAGCAGCAGACTGGTAGTTTTCGTAAATCTCATTGAACGGCTCCGAGTTCATTGGGGTGAACAGCAGGATGTGATTTTCAACAGGGACATCAAAAATCTTCACAGATGTCTGGGAAATAAAAGACTCAACATCTGCTCCACTCTTTGTAGGCAGAACAGTGAATCAGAGGCTCAGCATATCAGTATCCCTAGGCTCTGCTCTTGCAAATTTTACTTTTCAAGACTCAGTTCCCAGTCATTTCCATAAGCATTGGATTTTGTTTCATTGTTTTAAAGCAGATAAAATAAGAAGAATAAGCAGTTGCTGAGGTGGGGTTTTTGGTTTTTTTTTCCTGTTCCAGGAAAAACCTCATAGTTTTCATAGATTTTTACAGTCAGAAGGGACTGTGATCTTCTAGTCTGACCTCCTGTATAACACACAGACAAGGATGAATGCTGAAAGTAAAGGGTGGTGTTACCTAGGGAGGCCCAGCTGCTGTGGGGGAAAGACCTGGCTGGGCACTTCCTTCCCTTCTAGGTGGCATCAGCAGCTTGTATCTCCTTCCCTGCACAGGACTACCTTTTTCCTCATGCCAGCCTAAAGTCAGAGGCAATGGGGTGTTCTGAAGCCAAGCAGGTATTTCCATGTCTTTCCTTTCCTACCTGCACTAGCAACAATTACTGCTGGTTTCTTTCCTTCTTGCCTTGGCCCTGAGCTCCCTGTGGCTGCGTTGGGGGGAATGTTTGGAGCCAGGACTGGGGACTGACCCTCCACCCTCCCACCCCACCCAGCTGGGAGGTCTTTGCCTGTCAGAGTTCACTGTTCACCAGCCACTCCTCACCTCCTCTAGCAAACAACATCCTGCCAGAGGGAAGCATCGTTTGGCCTGGGTTAGACCAGGAGCTGCCTGCTGGGGTCTGCTGGCATTTCTAGATGTGCTTAAGAGTGGCCTTGTCAAGCAAAGAAAACTCTCACTCCCTAAGGTGTAGAGTAGCTCCCTAGGTCTCTTTCTGCATGGATTTCTGTCTTTCTCCCATAGGTTTTGCTAATACAGTGAAATGCACATACCTCAATATTGTATTCAGTGACCAAATCCAAGGTAAAGGTTTTGATTAGCCTTGTCAGGCCCAGTTTGCTCTGTTTACCATCTTCAAGCACTTCATTATGCCCAGGTTTTCCCTGGACAAATTGTGAAGTTTGTGAGGTTAGTGGCCTTATCAACTATAGGAGCAAAATGACAGGGTTTAAAAGTGAATTTTATGATCCTCAGCAACTGAAATTCCATAGCTTGTAAAATGAATGTCACAGCTAGATTGCAGAACAAGATTACAGCTAAAATTCAAGGTACAGCTGACAGTTTTAATTTGTTCAGTAAAGTTGACATACTGAAAGATCTTTCCTACATCTATACACAGTATCTGTGAGATATGCTCACTCAGGAAATCACTGGTCTGACTACTTCCTAGTCTAAATATTGCTGCTACTCTGTGCAGTTTTGGTTTTGTTGTTGGCCACTTCTTCTGTTGTGGACTGGAAGAAGATTCCTAGTCAAAAGCAACACACAAAAAAAAGAGGTGAATGTCTGGAAAGTAAAGCTGTTATACCCAGATCCTTAAGCATAAAATTTATATATCATCTGAAAAATTCCCAGACTGCCTTCCCAGAGCCCACAGCTGTCACGACACCTTACCTGCTAGACTTTTGTACTCCTACCTTCTTAAACACAATGAGAGAGTTCCTTTGGACACCGTAGTTAGCACAGACATCCTCACTGACTGTCATCCCAAAAGGCATCTCTGGCACATCTCTTGCTGTCTCACAGAAAACTTCCACACTGTCATTGCAAAGTTCCTCGTCCCAGAAAGAGTATTTATTAAGACTTTGCCCTACATCCTGCTAAGGTGTGTAGGAGTTAGCGCTGCAGGTGAAGCAGGCCCCTAAAATCTTGTGAAGAGCAGAGTATAATTGTAAAGTGGATAATGCTTTCCAAGATTATTTCTAAGGGGGAAACCTAGGAGTGCTGTGACACAGCTTTTGTTGGCTGGCCTGGGTCAGCAGAGATGGTGTAGGGTCCTCTCTGTCCTCCCTGCACTGATCTCATCCTCCCTGCTCTCCCCTGGCACTGCCACCCTCTGCAAAGCCTTCTGCAGGCTGGGAGGGATGGTGCCAGCAGCTGCCCCTGCACAGCTGGCAGGAGTGAGCGATCACAGGAGAGCTCTCTGCTCACAAGAGGAGCTGGCTGGCACATCTGGGGCTTTTGACTGAGTGCTCTTCAGGCAGGGACCTTGACTCCTGCATCTGTCAAATAGTCACTGTGCTGTCCACCCTCACACTAATAGTAAATAAGCAGGATGAAAGGCAACAGCTCTTCCAGATTTGATTTAATCAGACAATTATTTCATGCTAGATGAATAGTAATTTATATGCTGAGACCTTCCAACACATCCTGGCACTCATATTTGTGAGCAATCTGTGAGTAATAGAAGCCAAATATGGCTCTTTATTTGCTTGGACACTGTTTTGTTGCCTTTCACCCATTAAATCTCTGACATGCCCTAGCTCATGCTCATATATTGTCATTTCAGCCCAAGCAAAACCAGTGTCCAGTCAAACACATCTGCAGGCAATATCTGCTATCAGTATGGTTCAGGGAACCCTCTGGCACCACTGTGATAGAAAGAGCATCTCAATTTCCCCCAGCACTGGAAAACTGCCTTCCTTCTTAAACAGCTGCAAGCAGATTGCTGCAAAGCAAAATTCTGGGCACTGAGCATTTTCACAGTTTGTCCTGTTATGTTCTATGTGCTCACCAGCTTCGTTACTATGGGGCATTTTGGTAATGAATCCTGTTTTCCATATCCACAGAACTTGACTATCTGCTCTAGCCAGCACATTTGGGATATTATCAGTTCAGGTATGAGTCCAGACATTGTGCTTTTAACAGCACAGAGAGATATCAGAATAAAAGTCTCTTTAGTTAGTAAAAATCCTTGATTGAATTTCCAGATATTAAAGATCTCAAGGACACATTGAAAAAGCAGGAAAATACTGTTCCTATTTTACTCGCTCTGACAGCATTTCTATTGACTTTTGATCACTAGCACTCAGCCCAAATCCTAACAACATTATTCTGCTCTGGAAACTGGTAGAATTTGCTTGAGAAAGCAAACATGTGTTGGATCATATACAGTGGTATATTTTATGACTTTCTATCTCTGCAGATTTGACCTTTACACCAGACAAATTTGGGAGAGTTAGGCAGAAGGCCTTTCTCTGAGGATGCAGGAAACACTGCTGTGACCAGCCAGAGCTGTGCAAACCCTGCTGGAGCACCCTGCTCACAGAGTCTCTGTGCCCAGGTAGGTTAAGGAAATGTGCTGTGGTGTAAGATTTCCTTATTTCTGCCTTGGCTGCTTGTCTAAAAGTGTGAAAAAATAGACAGAGACTGTTAATTTTTTTCTTTTTTTTTCAAATGAAGTGAAAACTGAGTGTCTGCATTTTTCTGGCGAGTTCTTGGTCTTTTGGATGTGTGGGCTCTGGTGGAGATAGCAAGCAGTATATCCCAAAACTGGAACAGAACCAGCCTTTTGAGTTTTCCAGATAATTACCCTAAAGAAGCCAATCACTGCTAAGTCATCAGTTTTTATGATGGCTTCAGCCTGATCAGTAGAGTTGATTAAAACAGCGCTAGGTCCTGTTCTTCTTTTTACCCATGTAATAAAGGTTGAGGCTTTTCTGACTCCTGTGGAAGGAAAAGAGAGTAAAAATGAAAATCAAAATGATGGCAGAAATTTCTGTGCAATCAGGACAGAGGCAGTGGAGGTGCAGAGGGATGCTGAATACAAATGGACTTGGGCTCCTTAGGACTGAGGTCAAAGCCAATTGAGAGGGGGCTTGAGGTATCCAAGTTCAACCTCAGGTTCTTGTCACCATTTAAACTATTGTGGCTCTAGAAGACCAACAGTGGAAGTACAGCTTTTTCTGAGACCTCTGCAAGTGGATTTTTGTCCAGCTAAATGATTAATCACACATGGAGAATAGAGATGAGGAAACTCAGACAAGTAGAAAACCTGTCCTGCAAGATTTCATGTGTCCCAAAATCACAGTAAGCTATAAAGTGCTATCGATCTAAGGTTTAATCCACAATGGCTTCAAACCAATTGCAGATTTTATTGAACTGTTTGTTCAATTACATTAGGTGTCAAAATTGTTCCTTTGATGCTGCAAGAGGGATCTGATAGGCACAGAGACATGTTAAAATTCCTCTGTGGGGCCATAGCATCACTTCAGTTTAGACATAAGAAACAAAGCTGAAGTGTTAAAGTTGTCATTTAGTTCTAGATTGTTCCATCTTTTGGCTTCCAAATTACTACTACCAGTTTTACTGAGATTATAGTCAGTCTGTTTATTTGGTAAACTGTCCTAAGCTTTCAGAAGTTTTATTGAGTCTCTTTAAAAATTAAAATTTTAAGCTATCATGTTTTCAGAGGAATTTGAGGCAACAAACTGAGGCTCAGGCCATTAAAATCTCTGTATGACAGACAGGCTTATTGGACCAGAGTAAGGGTTAATTAAAATCATACATGAAAAAGAAAAAATTTAAGTGTTAGAGTCAAGATGTATGGTACAAGTGGATTATCAGAGATGCAAGTCCTGGTACTGTGTATTTTAGCAGTCTGACAAGATCAAAATTGAGTCAGACTGTTTTACTGCCACAGTTTTGCAGCAGACAGCATGCAACTAGTTTAAAATACATTTGTTTTATTTAAATGAAGCAGGCAGTCATCTGCTCTGGAGTGTATAGGCTGCAGAACAAAGTGCAGAGCAGTATCTAGTGGTCACACAGTGCTTGACTTCTGCTGTCTAAAGGCAGAATTGAGGTCTTGTCACTTATGTCAGTGCTATAGCCCTTAAGAATCTTTTCTGTGCAGTTAATCTTTCTATTGAGTTCCTTTAACCAGCCTGGCCAAATTCTGACCTTGCAGTTGTAAATTGTGATTTTACAAAGCCTAGAATTTGGCTCTCATGTTATGTCCATTGCCAGGGAACCATTCAAAAATTCCATCTCCCATAAAGAATTGAATTAATTTATTGATTTAAGCAAGGTCTGCAGTTTCTTTTGTGGTATGAAGAATGTACCAAGCCCTGTATGAAAAGTCACTGGGTGGCCAATACACATTTCCAATTGCCAGTGCTCAGTGGTTTAAAAAGCAAACATGGTACATGAGGTTTTACTCAGTGTTGCACATAAGCATTTACCAGGGAACGAAATGTAATTTAAGCCATTGTTGGTGACACATGTCCTCCAAAGATTGGTGCTGTCTGCCTTATAAAAAGCACAGAGCAGCAGCCAGTTTCCTAATTCCTGCATCTTGCTAGAAAGTGTGCCTGAAATAGCAGCTCTCTGCTGCAGGGCAAATATGTGTGTGTTGTTACAGTTCTCTGTACTCACTGTTTCACACCAGAAAATCTGTCAGGTTTACCAGTTTAAGAGAGGTTTTCTTGTCAATGCTGTAGATTTAATCAGAGGCTGAAGGTGGGGGCTTTTGCTTTCAGGCATCAGCACCTCTAATAAAAGTTCAGTATGGCACATCACGCTTTCGGTGGCATTTGTGCAGAGGCTGCTGTTTGCACAAGTCTAGGTAGTGGGAACTTGGTAAGAAATCCAATAGCAAGGAGGAGCAAGTTGCTAAAAATACTGAAGATCGGGTTTCAGCAGGAGCCACTGGGGGCTCAGCAGTTAAAGATATCTTAGCACTAGGTCGTGTACAAGTTCAGGAGGCAAACTTTGGGTTCCTTTTTTTGTTTGTTGTATTAAACTTGTGGCTCACCTGTATGTGCTCAGAGTACACCATCAGATGCTTGGCTAAGTCATGCAGTTTTTATCACCTCTGTAAAAGTTCATCATTTTATGAAAAACATAACCTTTCTTATATGTACTGTAAGTGAACAAAAATGTTTAATAAGACCTGGATTTCTAGGCTTGCTCAAGTCTGTGGATGCCTTTGCTTAATAGCTTTCTGTAAAATATTTCAAATTATTCCTTGTATTCTAAGCCACATATGAGCTCCCTCTGATGGCTAAATGGCAAAATTGTTTTCCTTAGCTTAGGAAGTGGACCTGTATGTTGAGGACCCTGTGAATTCCCAGTTCTTTGTTAGATATAGTGTTGCTCCAGCCTGTTTCTGTAGGCACACTGCCCATGGGAATTGCAGTGGACCAGAAGAGTAATGGAGCAGTTTGGGGACCCAGTTCTTGTTTGGCACAACTCATTAATGTTTATTGTAATAATTGTGAGTAAGTTGTCTTGTTGGGATGATTCTGTACTCGGTGGAATAACAGCGGTAATTAATTTGACTGTGTGAACTTAATATAGAGAAGATACTCAGTTATGCCCTTGGAAGATAAATTCAGATTCAAGTTCCTGTGTTGGTACAGAGGCAATTGCATATTTAACACCATGGGCAAAACCAGCTTCCCACCTTGTCTATTTTTTATCTGAGCATCTATATTTTTCTTCTCAGCAGGGTAATAGATGGTACATCCTGTCATTACATATCATTATCTTATCAGTGCATGAGACAGTTTACCTTTGCAGTCTGTGGGATCTTCCCTGCTGCCATTCACAAAAAACTTAACAGTAGGAAAGGCTTGAATATTAAATTCTTTTCTCAAATCATGTTGGTGTGTCACATCAATTTTGCCAAACTGGATTCTTGGAGCTTCTTTTTTAAGCTGTTGTGCAGCCTCAGCAAATTCTTCAGATAAATTCTGAGAAGACTGAGATAAAGTAACATCTGGAAAAGGCCAATCAAAAGCAAATGGGTTACATAAGCCACAGTGTGAAGCTTTCCAGTGGAGGTTGTTGTGTCAAGTGGTAGCTGGAGGGTTTGAATAAGGTCTTCTATGACTCAGAAATAAATGAGGGATTATATTTACTTCTTTATATTGATGCTGTTTTTTCACCACTCCATATGTCCTTGAACCAATAACAATGAACAACCAGCAATATTTCAATATTCTTTTGTTGGGAAAATATGTGGAGCCATTAAAAAGTAATTTGACTGACTATGAGTTTAAGAGAGGTGAAGAATAGAGTTAAATATTGCTCACATTGGGACTCTATGATCCCATTTTTGTAAGCGCTTCAGTGAGGCAGACTTTTGTAATGCAGAAAGTACTTTTTCAGATGAGATCTGGAGGGTGGTGTTGAAAAGGCTGGCAGTGGGCAGTGTATTCCTCATGCTGTCCTGGGGGCCAGCCCTTCTCCAGCTCAAATGGCACCTCTGTGTTTGGTGGAAGCAGAGGGCTCATCCTAGGCTGGGCCCTGTAAAGTTATATTAACATTAAAAAAGGACAAGAGAAGGAAACCAGGGACGCAGACTTCTCTGCTTTCAAAGACAAGTAAGAGATAAAGACCTGGAGATTTATATTTTTGTAACTTTGGTTGAAAAAAATGCAAATTTTAATTGAAATTGAGATACTCTGTCTTATTAAATGGCTTTTATTATAAACAACAAAACCTTTTTCTTTAGATTATGCACATAAAATTTTTTGTTTCTTCAATATACTTTGCAAATAGGAAGAGATGAAGAACATGCAGTCAAATTTGGTTTCATAAAATGGTGTTTGCTCTTTTGTGTATAGATGGGTGTTTTTGTGTATACACACGTTCAGATATATAACTGCACAAGCACACACACAAACACACCAAAGCATAAATATAACAAAATAACTGTCTTTTGTTCTTTCACAAAATAGCAGATGCACTTCTCTAGAACATACCTTGTGAAGAAGATATTGCCCAATGGGGTTATAACCAAAAAGTAAATGGACATTTCTTAGAATCCATATTCTAACTCAGTGCTGAGTTACATTCCTTGCATCATTCATCATTATCCTTGCTCTGAATCCCAGCCATCAATCATTTTCTCCCCCTTACTGCTGCAGCAAGTGTGAAGATTAGTATCAAATGATGCTATTTTCTCAAAATATTAAAGTGACAGTACTAGGCCCTTCCACATACAGACCCATCTTGGCAGAGGCTCACAGAACCCCTGCACTGGAAGAGCTGCTCCAGCTGCTAATATACCAAAGGACTTCTGTTAGTAGAACAAAACAAAGTCTGCTCAGGGGATACTCAGATACCATGTGATGAAGAGAAGGTGCTTCTCTAAATAAAGTAAATGAGCCTGAAGACAACAGTCCAAACCCAAGCTGTGTTCTAATTGCCTGTAAAATTAGTGTTTCATCTAATAAGCTTATTATGATTGTTCAAAGAAATTTTACCCAAACTTTAATTTCCTATTTCCACTTGATAAAAATGGTCTCATAAACCTTTCCCTCAACAGGATTGTAAAGTGTTATCTCCTAGCACCAAAAAAAAAAGGGGGGAAAGTATCTCCAGTTGTACCTCAACATGCTCAAGAGGCAACAGCAGAAAACCTGCAATTCTGACCTGACAATGTAAAAAATTGCATATCTACCCTATAAAAATATTGCTGCTTTTAGGGGCACTGTGTGTTGAGCCTTTATGAAATATTTTTGCTGAAAATGATTGCAAAGGTGGACTATTCAATAAGACATGGAGTACTTGCAATGCAATTTGAGAATGCTGATAGAGACTGCAGGTGGCAGGGCTAGCCCAGAACAGCTACTGGGCTTTCCAAGAGGAAGGGTGTGTGGCTCTGGACAGAATGTAGCTGGAGTAAGGAGCAGGAAACTCCACAGCAAACCAGGATCCAGCAGCTCTCAGCTAATTCTAGGGCAGTGTTTTACACCAGAGGCAATTTCAGTATAATGATTTTTTTCCTAAAAACCTAAGGTTGCACAGCTGTTTTACCACAGCTGGGAAAGTGGAAGCTGAAATGCTTTTTGCACAGGGAAATAAGAAGGGACAGAAGAAACTGTTGGTGAACTCCAGAAACAGAAGTCTCACAAACATAAAAGAAATGTTAAGCTTAGATACTAGACATTTGAGTAGATTGTCTGTGGGGAAGAGGGCAGAGGATCCATTTTTCTCTGAAATATTTTAATTCCAAAGAGATATTTTAGGAATGATCTCTTATCACTGAATGACCTGAGTAGTGAGAGTTGCAGCTAACTAGGAATGTAAGTAGCATGCTTAGATAATGAGAGTTGGTAGAGTTAGCAGCTCCGTGCTGCAGCTGGGAGCAGTGCATGACTCCAGCAGTCAGAGGCAGGAGAACTTTAAGTACCATTAACCTGCTAACTGTGAGACACAAGTTCAGTGAGTGAACAGATAAAAACTGTTTCCTTGACTACCCAGAAATCATGTGGAAACATCCATCATGCACCTTTCCCCTGCTTTCCTCAGTGATTAGACTCCTCTTCAGCTCTCCATCAATTCCTTTTCATTCCACTCATTCTCTATTTGCCTCCCAGGTGCTTTATCTTTCAAGTCATTTGAGTGTTGCAGGAAATCATCACTCCTTTTATTGGGAGCCTTTTCTTGAGTTTTGTTTCGCTTCCTCTGGTTTAGATTTTTATTGACACTGATCACTTCAGGCCGTGGGATGAGGAAGCAGCTGCTGGGGCTAATGTGGCATCACAGGCTCCAAACTCGAGGAGCATCAGCAGGGAACAAGGGACACGGATAAGAGGCAACAGAGCAGGGTGCCCAGGGCAGGCAGTGTGGGTGGCAGGACACCTGTGCAAACCAGTGTGCTGTGCCACAGCTGCCAGAAGCAAGAGGCCCTTCAAAGGCTCAAGAACAGTATTAACATGGGAGAATGTTTCCATTATCAGTAGTTTTAGTTTTTAGCTGGGTTGTAAATAAAAACAAGGATAAAGCAAGGGTTTGAAAATTAAAAGTGGGAAGAGAACCATAAATCCTGCATTTGGACTCTTACCTCCTCAGTACATTGACAACCTGAGTAAGCTGCTACTTCTTTTGGTGCAGTTTACTGAGCTAAAATATACTGAAATGTGGACAGATAAATCTTTTGCTGACACATGAATGTGTTTAATTACCCTAAAGAATTCTTGAAGTGGCTGTACATAGAAGCACAATGAGTTAATTTTCCTTTAGCTAATTGCTGGTGGCCTCCAATCTCATTATTCTGTCTGAATTGATGGTTTAGGGATTGCTGCAGTCATTGTGAATGTACCTGTTGTCCTGCCAGATACAGATTTCCTGGGTGTTAGTTTCTGACATGGTCACAAAACCATTTCAGCAGTCCCATTTCTCATCTGTGCAGGCTGCTTTTACAGTTGCACTACAGATATATAAATTTCTCTGCAGAAGAGTCTTGAGATGAAGGATAGATTAATGTTTAGCATATCAGAGAAAAGAAGAATGTTAATCTTGCTGCAGTTGCAAGCTTGCTTGTGTGACCTTGAAGTCTCCCCTTCTCTTCTAGAGTGAAATACAGGCATAACCTTCTGTGCTGACCTCTCTACTTCTTAACTGAGGTTTGCAGTTCATTTGAGATTTCCTTCTATGTAAACATCAGGATTTATTCTAAGTTTGGATTATTGTAAGCATTCACTAAAATAAGCGTGTGTGAGAGACACATGAGGGACTCCTGCTAGTAAGTAATTCTGCTGCAGGTAACTGCAATTTCTTCTTAATAACATCACCTTCAGCTGTTGTGCCTTAAAAAGGAGATGTTTGTCTTCAAGAGTAACCCTCATCTTGCCTATTAAATGTCATTATCTCAGTCACAGGTTGCAGGAATTCTGTGCCTGACCCAGTGCCTCACTAGATGTACAAATGTTCTGCTAGAAAAGGTAAACATCACCTTCTCATAAATGAGAGCATGCTTAGCACACAAAGCAGCAGCACAATGTCTGCACCTCTTGTGTGCTCGTCCTGAGGTTATCCAAGTTTCTCTAGGATCTGAAAACTTTTCACTGAAAAGAGCAGCAGCAGGCATTCTCAGAAGCCTGTGGAATCAAGCATTCACTGGGGTCTGTGTCTTTCCATTAATTCTTCTGATAAGTTGGAGGAAATGGTGTTAGCATGTGCTCTGAAGGCTGTGCTTTTAGTAAGTGTACAAAGTTCATTCTCTCTGTAATGGACGTATTTGTTAGAGTGATTGAGACTTTTTATGGTGCTTATTTGCTTTTCTCTGCAGTGAAAGTCAACAGAGGGACTTAGATTCAGGCAGTGTGTAGTGTAAACATTGAATCTCTCCCATGCAGGCAGTGCTGATCAAAGGTCTACCTTCTGCTGGTGACAAGTGCTCTGAATTCCCTGTGCTCATAAGCCTTTATGTGGAATTTAGATCAGTTTAACGTGGATTAGGAGATGCCACAGCCTGCAGCAGGAGAGCACTTTCAATTGAGTGCTGAGATGAGGTGCTGGGCAGGACTCACACATTGCTGGGTGATGCTTGCATGGTTTTCAGACATGTCTTGTTGCACAGAACAGCTGGGATGAGAGAGAGAGAGGAACAGTGCTGGGTTTCTGGGTCCATGCTTTGCTGTCACACTGAGTGCTTGCCCTGTGAGCTTTGCCCAGCTCCTGGGACAGTATTTGAGGGTTGCTCCTCTGCCTAATTTCTGCTTGTCTCTTGTACTTATGGATCTACTAATTGTGGATCTGACTGAGAGTGTGCTGAAGTCAGGGAAAAACTCTCACTTCTTTGCGTAGGTAATTTTAATGTCTGCAACTCTTCGACATCTTGTCTGTGAGGCTTTCCTCTCTACTTAAGTGCTAAGTTGTAGCTCAAGTAAGATACTACCTCATGGGTTAAACCAGAAGATTTTGCCATTGGTTTTCAGTAGTAACACAGTTTTCTGTGCAATAAATGGAAGGGGCTAAATGTACCAATTCATCCTTAGTAGAGCTATCAGCTGTCCACATGAACTATGAGGCCTCCCTAGACAATCCTTTCAGAACACTTAAAAAATACCTTACAGAAATATTGAGATTCTGGAATTCCTTCAATTTACTAAGGAATTATTATTTCTGTAAATACCTGCCAGCCTGTAGTTGTAGGAGAAACACCTTTGACCCTTGAACTCTGATGAAATTTGGGAACTTTAACCCCAAAGCTGTAGCTGGTAGAAGAGACCAGGTATTCTAGTGGTTGTTTCAGTGGCACAAAGGACAGAGCTGACTTGACAACAGGTGGGTCTGGATTAGTAGAATCAAGAAGAAATTCCTTCAATAATGACTGTTTCTTCTTCTTGAGGAGTAGCAAGTGATGCTTTGCACCTCGTGCCTTTAGCAGACTTTTTATCCAGGAGGACACCACTGAAAAGAAGGAATGTTCATAGTGGGGGTTGATGTGGTAGCCTCCATTTTCTGTGGGTGAAGGATCTTGGGGGGCATATTGCTGCAATTTATTGTTTCCATGCCTGCTGTGAGTGGGGCTGGGTTTCCAGCAAGCTCTTTTCTATCAGTCTCAAAAGCTTTGCATTGTAATGCACCTTGAGATGTGCTCCATCAGTACTTGTAGAGTGTGCCTAATGAAATCAGGAGCTGTATATTCAGGCTGCTTGCAAGATAAGATCACACATAAATACAGATTCAGCAATCAGGTACTAAAGGAGAAAAAAGAAGCAGAAAGATAAGAGTCTCCCATTTGACTTTGTGGTCTCTTTCTCTTCATAACAGCTCCTTTTCAAAGATGTCTTTCAAGAAACATACTGGTAAGGTTATAAAGCATCTCTCAGAATTGCAGGTTAAAACTAACAAGGCCTGTTTGATCTGGGGAGGCAGTGTTTAAGCTCAGAACACAGCCTGAGGCTCCCAGAACAAAGGTAGGAGGACAAAACCATTTGCTGAGAGAGCTGGTTTCCCCTGTCTGGCCCTAAAACAGATAGCCATCAACTTAAATCCCTCCTGGAAACCTTCTACCAGTAAATAGGCTCTGTCATGAGAGGGTTTCTAACCTCTATGTCCTGAAAGGAAACTGCAGAAAAAGGAAGATCACACAACAGTCCATTTTACCAGGACAGATTTGCAATGAGGAATGAGATTTAGTAGAACTGAACTGGTGGAGAACAATGTTCTCTTTTAGACATAGAGCAGATAAGGTCACATTCTGTGCATTTCTCCATCA